GGTGCAACAAAGGATGATGCAAGCTATGATTCAAAATAAAATAGAGGCTACAGTGTTGGATCATATCCCAACACCTGAAAGTCTGACAATCTTGGGTAGATTATCTTCCCCCTGAACTTTGTCCTTGCTGGAACCTTGCGCTAACCCTGAAATTCTACATCTAGATTTTTCTGTTTAGCCAACGCAGATTGGTCTGCAAAGGTGCAACCCCATCTAACCTCACCTATTTTCTCTTTTGCTTGTCTCCCTCCTGTCTTGTTCTTTTGCTACAAAGACATACTGGATATACTGTATACACTTTATTTAAACTGTTTTGGCGCATACAGGCACATTTTTCCCCAAATTGTCTGGGACTAGTTTTTTTTTAAATATTTTTATTTGGAATGTATTGTTTATATATGTTCCTAACACAAGTGTGATGCTAACAGATAACGCCAATTTTCACAACCCAGAAAATATAATGCACACATTGAAATGAGAGTGTATTTCCTTGTTTGCTAATGTCTTAAATTTACTTACTTGTACTAATAAAATTTCTGAAAAAGAATATCCTGTGGATGGGCTTGGAGTATATTTGTGACAAGACCCCAGTATTCATTAAGGGTGGAAGTATGCAGCCATTCTCTGTTCACATCATATGTTGTGTATTCTGACATTTCATTCATTCGAGGTAAATTCCAAGGTGAGCAGATTCACAATGAAAGCACAAGGTGGTGTCAGATGTGGAGTTCACAAAATTTTGAATGTTGTTGGTCACCAATGTATTTTTGCAAATATGTTTCAAAGAATAAAGGACTGGTGCTTGCACGATTCCATCACTATTTGAATTTGTGATTGCTTTTTATGAAATTAACAACCCTCAAAGTCAATATGGATTTAACGATCGATTGGTGTGATTGTTCAATCAGCTTTGTCAGGAGTCATGATGAAGATCATTGGACCAAACACATTAGGTGGAGTTGGGAGCTTGTGACTTCATAGCACACTGGAGGCCACGTGCATATCATTATTGTAAGCAGTGTGTGCATCCCTGTATAGAAGTGAAGTATTTCCTATTGATCATAGGAAAATCACATGAATATGTGTGCTTTTTTTTTTATATGCTTTTAGGATTAATAAAGATTTTTGCACAATGATTATCTGGATATTTTGTCCCTTTTCTTCAGGACATCGTTGGTTTTTTTAATTTGGAAGCTGTATAGGTGTTACAAGATTCATAGAGAGTGGAGAATTTATTCACTTATACTATTTTTAATTTTTACTATTATGTCTTATTCAGTGACAGTTTATAGGGAAAAAAGTTTATTTTTGGATAGAGTGGAGACTGGACTTGCACACCTGTCAGTTATAAAAACTGTCTGTGCCCCCATCGGGGATTCGCCCTATTTGTCCTGTTTACCATTATTGTTGACAGTGAAACTAAAAGAAAATCTCAAATTTTGGGTTGTCCCCAGAAAAGTAGGGGAAATCTTCCCATGGGGACTTTAGTCCTGGTGACCTTGGGGGCCCCCAAGGAATTCCCTCACTTCCTATTTTGGCTGTAGGACAGGGAGTGAATGTGAATTTCCTCAATGGGACAGATGTCAAATCTGACAGGGGTTATAACCCCTCCACTACTTTAAGGGCTTCATGTCATAAAATGAGATGGTCACCATAGGGAGAGTATTACTGGGTGTGGTCATTTTCATCTCAGTTCTGGACACTATAGATGTTTCATCTACTCCCCAAAATACTTTATCATTTTGATGGACTTCATTTGTTATGAGTGTGATGTTTTTGATTTGATGTAGTCACCTGTAAGCACTTTATGATATAGCCACCTGTGTTCCGTTTTAAATGCCGCTTTTGCATTGACATACCTCCTTGGACCCAGCCTGTGAAGACCATGTGTCAGCTGCTGACTTGGCACCATCCACAGGCAGCTTAACATTTCAATTAGACACAGAAGTTGAATCCAACACCATTTTACATCAGATAATTTTAGTACAGAGGATGTTTTCCCAGTCTAAGAAGATAACTTCCCTAAACCCTGCCTCTGAATAACAAATACTGAATGAGGAAGAAGTGGGGAGGGTCTAGCTAAGACTAAACCAACTACCAATAAACAGGAGGGGAGGCAGAGGAAGATACCAAAATCACATTAATAAACAAGTTGTAGTGGCCCAAAACCTACACTAGAGGTCAGCACACTACAAAACATTACTTAAAGCAGTTCAATAGAACACAGAAAAATTATGAGTGAGGTAAAACAACGTTGTTAACCTTTTTGGTTTTATCAAAACGTAAATTGTGTTTAATATCTACAACTCCTATTAGAGCATTAATGTGATATCAAATAGTCCTAGGAGGATGGAAGTCTTTTGTTCTCTGAGCGTTTCATATTTTTCCCCATTGTTCTGGTTTCACCTTCGGGAAGTTCTTTATATGTCTTCCTACAAGGTAGTCATTTCCTACATATTTTGCACTGAAAGATGAGGATCCTGTCCTCTGCAATCCTCATTAGAAGTGAACTCTATTTGGAGTTTTGCACCTCCTACAGTATTTTTCTGCTTGGGTTCTCCTTGAGTTGAAGATTTTAGTCTAGGCTCCTGATTAGTCTTTTTGGTCCAGTTGGTCATGTTTGCTACTGTATCATTGAACTTTCCTGGCTGCATGTTACTCTCTTAACCACCTCCAGTCCGGCCGTTGTATATAAACGGCCGGATGGTGGCAGTGCAGGGTCGGGTGGTCGTTTATAAACGGCCTCCCTGTCCCCTGCTTGCACGCACTCCCTGGGAGCAAGCAGCACCGCGATCCGGTGCCCGCTGTGTCCTCCGGACACAGGGGAACACCAATCGTCGGACGGGACCTCTGTACGAGGTCCCAATCAGTGATCACATGCAGAGTAGTAAGCAAGATGTCACTTCTGACATCATTGCTTACTACGTGTGAAATCTGTGAATGATCACAGAGGTCACATGGTACAAGGCTATTCACAACAGCCTTGTACCATGTGACAACCTGTGACCAATCACAGCTCACTCAGTTCTCAATGGCTGCAAGATTGCAGCTAGAGAGGAGAAATTATTGCATTTACATGCTTTATGGGTGTAAAAGCAATAAGTGTAAAAAAAAAAAAAACATCACCCCCCCTCACAAGTAGTACAGTGTCACCAAGGTGACACTGTACTGCTAGGGTGACAGTATGTAAAAAAAAAAAAAAAAAGGGTCCCCCTTAAAATTCATAATAGACCTGAAGTGAATTGAGTCCTATTGTGCTCCAAGCAAGTACACAGATCTTTTTCAGTCAACATGACACCATAGCTAAAATGTTCTTTACAATGTCTACAACTAGTGTTAAAATTAGTTTCTAATTTCAGCTAAATTCCAAACTATAATGCTCTCCAACTGGTTAGGAGAGGGATTTGATAGAGGAGTCAGGACGATTACACTTTAAGGATCCATAAACACCAGCTGTTGTGCTATGGTGCCATAAGTACTGATGCACTGAACTTGGCGCATTGCAGTGTTCCTTGTTTTTTCTTTTAACCACCTCCCGCCCGCCATATAGTCTAATGACGGGCGCAAGGAGGTTCGCTCATTCATGACGTCATTCCATTCTCACTGTGCATGCACGGCTCAGGGAGCGTGCAGCGCGGCGATCAGCGGTACGCTGTGTCCCTCGGACACAGCGGATCACCGATCTACGGAAAGAGACGAAGATGTCGGCTCGGTCATGTGATCAGCTGTGTCCAATCACAGCTGATCACATGTAAACAGGGAAATGCCGGTTATTGGCATTTCTCTCCTCAGAAGCTGTCACGCTGACAGCTTGAGAGGAGAGCCGGTAATCGGTTTTCCACAGAGGGGGACATGTACACTGATCATCAGGGCACTGATGATCAGTGTGACCCCAGAAGTGCCACCTGACAGTGCTGAACAGTGCCACATGCCAGTGCCCATCTGAGCTGCCTTTCAGTGCCACCCACCAGTGCAGCCTCATTAGCGCACATCAGTGAAGGAGAAAAATCACTTGTTTACAAAATTTTACAACAAAAACGAAGAAAAAAACTTTTTTTTTTTTCCAAAATTTTCATCGGTTTTTGGTTTAAGAAAAGATAAAAAAAACCCAGAGGTGATTAAATACCACCAAAAGAAAGCTCTGTCACAAAAAAATGATAAAAATTTCATATGGGTACAGTGTTGCATGACCACGCAATTGTCAAAGTGTGACAGCGCTGAGAGCTGGAAATTGGCCTGGGCAGGAAGGGGGTATAAGTGCCCTGTAGGCAAGCAGTTAAATAAACTGTATTGAAATGTCACACAGTGGCTGATTGCACTGCACTGGGAAAAAAAAAAAAAAAAAAAAAATACTCCAGTGTACATACGCCACCGCAATGCAGTGTTGTGAACTGGTCACATACAAGACAAGGCAGTTTGCCTCGTCTTCCGGTGGGATTGTGCTGGAATAGCTGCTCAACTCAGTCCCACCGCACCTGATGTGAATCTACTCGAACTAAAAGGTTACTTATTCCATGTGGGGAAGCATACTGACCCCTGGTTCACATATATGTGGCCGTGTGGGCCGCGTTTTGCACGGGCGCGAGAGCCCATTCATTTGAATGGACTCCCGTGCCCGTGACATGCAGGGAAGAAGTCCCTGCACTACTTGGGAAATCGCAGCTCGCACAGGAACGTCGGTTCCCAGTACGGTTGCGTTTTCCAATGCGGGTGATGTGCCATTAGAATTAATGGCACCTGGCCGCGGGTCAGCATTCCTCTGTGTGGGTGCACGGATTTTTGTGCGAATCCGCAGCGGCACCACCCACACAGATGTGAACCTAGGGTTTATAGATCACAATAGTAACACAATATCAATTTGTCACATTTATCTGCTCAGATAGTGACCAATGTATATACCGTCTACACGACAGCAACCAAAAAAGGTGAATTTGTAAAACCAGTTTAGGATTCAATATTTATTTATTTTTAGCACTAATATCACAAGACAAAAATATGTTTCAGAGTTTTGGTTCAGACGGAATCCAAACCCATCCCTCTTTATTTGCTACCTTGGCAAGAGTAGCTAATCCTCCAAATGCAAGACATGCGGGGGCCCCTACTGCATAGCTGTGACCTGCGAACAGAAAAGTAGTCTGTAACTTAATTTTACATAAACAAAATACAATTGAGTACAGAAAGGCTACATTCACACTGATCTGCGGCAAAAATGCATACACGTTTTTAGCATCACCGTGGGTGAGTTTTGCCACATTTTCCATAGATTTCAATGGGGATAAGCGTTTTTTTTTTTAACACACCAAAAATGCAGCAAGCAGGATTTTTAAAACGCATCTGACCCATGTGAAGAGTTCCACAATGCATGGTCACACGTTCAGAATCTCTCCCATGATTTCCTTGTTGTCGGTGTCCTCAATAGGCATATTTCTCCCTTACTTTCTGTTCAGAAAAATGTAGTGAATGTCACAGCGACAGCATTACAAATCTTCTCATGCTGCCTCTAATACAGAATAGAGGTTCTAACCCTGCTCTGACATTAAAAACAAAAAAACACTGCTAAAGTTGGGTTATAAAGTGACCTTGTCACTTTAGTATTTAAATAAAGCCACACCTGTAAATACGTACTTTTTTTGCAGCTTTGATCCCAAGAAAACTTCTACTGAACTCTGCACTGAAACTGATGCTTCCGGAGTGTTGGCCTGCATCCATCGCAGCTCTCACTAATCACTTTCTCTAACCAGCACCTGTCACAGTAGACAGGAAAAAAACCAACCAGTGAGAGCTAAGGGGTCCCACTCCTTTAAGTGTCTGTTTCAGGATCCAATGATTGTTCCAATATTTACAGGTATAACTTTATGTAAAATTTCTTTAGTATTAGGGACAGGGTTGCTTTAAGCATAACATTTTAAAAATACAGAAGGAAAAAAAAAAAAAAACCCACATACGCTCCTTTACTGTATTTGTCACAACAGTAATGGTGCCGTCTTTAAGATTAGCTCCATTTACTGCTCAATTTTATATGTTAACAGGTTTTATCACCTACTGACTTGATAGGCATCGCAGAAGGGTAAAAGTAATGGGTTCTCCAAAATATTAAAAACAAAAAAAAAAAGCCACAAATCATCAAACCTAATAATGCAAGTATAAACCTAATCCTTCATGCAATATTGTAGGTTAATCCCATTCTCAATATATGCCTTGCTTCAATTATTTCTTTCTTTCAGGAACTTATATAGCGCTGTCAATTTACGCAGCGCTTTACATATATATAGTACATTCACATCAATCCCTAACCCTCAAGGGGCGTACAATCTAAGGTCCCTAACTTACATTCATACATACACATACTAGGGACAATTTAGACAGGAGCCAATTAACCTACCAGCATGTCTTTGGAGTGTGGGAGGAAACCGGAGTACCCAGGGGAAACCCACGCAGGCACAGGGAGAACATGCAAACTCCAGGCAGGTGGTGCCGTGGTTGGGAATCGAACCTACAACCCTAGGTACCAGGGGCATTTTATGGGGCCCCCCCCACTGACCCCAGGCCCTCAGGGAGTGCCCGAGTGCTCGAATGGTCAGTCCGCCACTGACTGCACCTCTTTCTACACTTTCAATGCGTCAGTTCAAACACAGTTATTACTACAGAAGTAAATGGGAGTATCCTCCTGCGCTTTATATAGATATATTCCCTATAGTATCCCTATAATAATAGCTGCTGTCACTCGACTAAACCAATAAGTGATGTTAAACACATTTATTACTACAGAATACTTAAAATAAAAATGAACTTACTTTTTAATCCTAGGAGGATACCAGATGCACAACCCCCTATAAAATAGTTTTATCGCGTCATCTGGCTTCTCACGAATCTGGGCTGTTAAACAGGTAGTCATACCAAAGATTGCGCCAAGTGCAGCTAGGAAGGAATAAACAATCACTAAATTACAAACATAATGAGGCTTGCATTGACATGCGAGGTTACTTTATATGTGATAGACACATGCCTATTAGATTTTATTTCTTACAGCCTTCAACAGTTTTGGTGCAGAAAATAAAAAACCTCTATGGGCAATTCTGTTCTGCAAATTAAAATTCTTTCCTGCCCTGACAAAGGCAATCAATTGCTTTCATCAAATCATTCTAATTCTTTTTATTTGTACATAGTACTATGGATGTCATCAAATTAGAAAAGCATCCAAGTCTATTTTTAAAATCCTTTGAAATTTTCCAGGTACAGAGATTAACCACTTGCCCTCCTGAGGATTTACCCCCCTTCCTGACCAGGCCATTTTTTGCGTTATGGCGCTGCATTACTCTGACAATTGCGCGGTCATGCAACCCTGCACACAAATTAAATTTATGTCCTTTTTTTCCCCCCATGAATTGAGCTTTCTTTCAGTGGTATTTGATTACCTGTGCGTTTTTTTATTTTTTGCGCTATGAAAAAAAATAAGCGCCAATTTTGGAGGAAAAAAAAAAAAAAACAATATCTTTGACTTTTTGCTATTAAACATGTGCAGTTAAAATGTGTAAAAAAAAAAAATCAAATCTTGTCAAAAAAATTCCAGTATGTGTGAATTAATTGGTTTACGTGAAAGTTATAGCAGTTACAAATGGAGATATATATTATTATTATACAGTGTTTATATAGCGCCAAAAGGTTTGCTCAGCGCTGTACATTAAAGTGGGGGGACAGAACATGAGACAATACAATACATGAGGGGTTCGAGGGCCCTGCTCTTTCGAGCTTACAATCTAGGAGGGAGGGGGTAGAGGTACAGGAGGAAGTGGCTGTGGGGGATGGAGTGGTAGGAGTGGTGGTGGAGAACGGCTGTTAGGTGAGGGTGGGGTAGGCTAGGCTGCCCTGAAGAGATGGGTTTTCAGGGTGCGCCTGAAGGTGAGGAGGGTAGGTGACAGTCTGATGGATTGGGCTGGGAGTTCCAGAGGATGGGGAAGTCCTGGAGAAGTCCTGCAGTCGGGCGTGGGAGAAGGAGACAAGGAACTAGAGAGTAGGAGGTCTTGTGTGGAGCGAAGAGCACGGGTAGGGTGGTATTTGGGTATCAGGTCAGTGAGGTAGTTTGGGGCAGCGTTATGAATGGCTTTGTATGTCAGAGTTAGTAATTTGAATTTAATGCGTTGGGCAATCGGGAGCCAGTGAAGGGATTGGCAGAGGGGGGTGGCAGAAGTGGACGGCTGTGCAGAGCCATCCAGAGCAGTGTGCCCGAGCTGACACAGAGGAGGACTGTTAGTAAACAATACAGTCCTCCTCCCCATTGGTGATCATCGGAAAACCGGGGCCCGGTGATTGACAGTTGCGGGTGAGAATGGCGGCTCGGGTAGGGCACGAGCCCCCTATCCAGAAATGTGAAATCACGTATATATACACACATACGTGATTTTGCGCACCTGTGCCGCCCTGTAGCAGTATTTCTGCTATCGGACAGATAGGAAGCGGTTAAAGCCCAACTCTTACACTTCCCACTGACCGATGGAGCATTTCTTATTTATAAACAATGGGTTCCTGCAAATATTGCCTGCAGGAAAATTACACACTAGGCACAAAGATCTAAGGCCAGCCTCTAGGAACCACAACTCTCCCTGCAACTCAGTTGTAACAAGCAGTATGAAAGGTATGACAACATACAGAACGAGATGGGGGTACACTGTCACTCAATGGACTGCAATGGCGGGCAAACAGAGCAACCACAGATGAATATAGTTCAGTCAGCAAGTAAAAGGAGAACTCCCTAGTCATCTGCATGCAAATGAATCCACCAGAATAACTAAAATATCTGAGCCAAATCCAAATCAGAGCTGTACAACCCAAAACAAAAAAAAAAAAAAAAAAAAAAAAAAAAAAAAAAAAAAAAGACTGACAAGCTGCTTAACCACTTTTACCCCCTTCCTGACCAGGGCAATTTTCAGCTTTCAGCGCTATCACACTTTGAATGACAACTGTGCGGTCATGCAACACTGTACCCAAATGAATTTTTTACCTTTGAGACAGATAAAAACTTTATTTTGGTGGTATTTATTCACCGCTGGGATTTTTAGTTTTTTTGCTATGTAAATGAAAAAGTCAAAAAATTTTGAAAAAAAGTGTTTTTCTTATAAAATGTTGCAAATAAATAATATTTCATCATAAATCCTGGCCAAAATTTATTCCGTTATCTTTTTAGTTAAAAAAAAAAGCCAAAATTAGTTTATAACCAAAAATTAAATTTTTTTTTACATACTGTCACCATGGTGACACTGTACTACTTGTGGGGGGTGATGAAGTTTTTTTTTTTTTTACACCGATTGCTTTTACACCCATATAGGATGTAAAAGCAATAATTTCTCTCTCTGTCTGCATTCTTGCAGCCCTTGAGAACTACTGAGTGAGCTGTCACAGCTTGTCACATGATACAAGGCTGTTGTGAATATCCTTGTACCATGTGATCTCTGTGATCATTCACAGATTTCACACGTAGTAAGCAATGATGTCACAAGTGACATCTTGTCTACTACTTTGCATGTGATCACCGATTGGCCAGTCAGCGATCACATGATCGGGACCTCATACAGAGGTCCCATCCGACGATCGGTGTTTCACTGTGTCTGGAGGACACAGCGGCAACCGGATTGCGGTGCTGCGCGCTCCCAGTGAGCGCGCACAAGCAGGGTGCGGGGAGGCCATTTCTAAACGTCCACCCGACCCTGCAGTGCCACCGTCCAGCCTTTTCTATACAACGGCCGGACGGGAGGTGGTTAAAATCCCTCACTACCCAATTAGGGCTAGACAGGAAAGAGTAACCTCTTAAACAACAAATGCACATAAATGCCTTAAAACATAGCTTTAATAGCAGTTATGTCCAGCTAGCCAAAGGAATTGCATTGTGACTGAGCCTGCACAATGCTCACTGCACACAATCAAACCATGCGCAGCACCCAGGATAGGATGAAAACCTGACCAAGAGGATGACACAAAGGAATTCAAGAAGACTGCAAGCAAGAAAAGAATTGGCTCCATAAAGATCCCTTGTTTAATAGGACGACAAGAAATTATTTGTCTAGCACAATTAGTGCCTACAATGTCTGAACAGACTTAGCACAAGTCTAAACTATGGGAAAAATCAACAGGGAAACAATATCAGGGGTGTCCATCCAGGAACCAAAAACCATGCAAAAAAAAGGCACAAGGGGGGATCCTTTCAAAAGTCCAAAAACAAGACTGCCAGTTCCATACCAATCAAGTATGCAATAACAACCCCACAAGGGGGTTGCCTCCAATATGCAAACAGCCAGAGGCAAGGACCAAAAAGTTGAAAAACCATAACCATTCATGTAGTGACACCAAGCCGACACAAGGGCTGCCGAAGAATATCAGTGTGAACCCTCACTGTGTAAAACAATCCATTCAGTTTAAAGCAGAAATGAAAAGCAAAGCATTTGTATATAGATATATAAAAATCATTATAAAATACTTGTTTTCCCCCTTTATATATATGTGATCACATACCATCAGCTGCATAAGAAGCTATGGGAGAGAAACCACTGTACGCTGATTCCCAGTGAATGGTTGTGCAACGGGGGCATGTCAGCACAACTCTGATCATTGGAGAAAAGCAGGCTCAGTTCTCAGCACAAGCAAAAACCTGACCATGCTGTCCTTTCATGCCTAACATGGTCAGTTTTTAATAAGAAAGCAGAGGGACTGGCAGGAACACCAGGAATTCCACACAAAGGACAGGGATGTTCAATTGCTATCACCCGGGACAGTTCCAAGTGCCGGACAAGAATTTTTTTTCATTTAGCGGGACAGCCCACGACAGGCACTAGGAGGGGAAAGACGTCTCCACCCTCTGCTTGTAAAAGCTATCCAGCGGCCAGTTAGCCGCTCGGAATGCTCTTACAAGAGAGCCGACTGTTGACTCTAACCCCCTGTAGTAGCAACACCCGATTGACTAGCCGCTGCTTCTGCCAACTGATCGTAGAGGGAGACAAAGACCAGAACCACTCTGTCCACTTCTATGATATAGGAAAAAGAAAGTGATGCGCATACATCACTTCCAGTTTCCTCGGATGTAACTGGCACCATTTTTAAAAATGGAAAGCATTTGATCACACTGACTTGGTATAATCAAATGCTTTTAAAGATCAGAGGAGGGATCTGGGAACCATAAAGAGTACCTGTCAATGCCTTGCTGACACAAGGTATGTTTACATTTTTTTTTTCTTGTGTCACAAGAAAAAAAAAATCTAAACAAATTTAAAGCGACAGCGTAAAAATAATAAAATTAAAAAAAAAAAAAAATCTAAAGCACCCATGTCACCCTGTGATCTAGCACAAATGCAAATGCATGTGTTGGTCCCGCACACATACGAACCACAATTAACCCACACGTGAGACATCACCGCGAACATCAGATCATGGGCAATAATTCTAGCACTAGACCTGTGTAAATCTAAAGTGGTAACCTGTAAAGGCTTTTGAAGACTCACCTAGATGGACGGATAATAGAATTTATGTAATTTCCTGCTGTTGCATAGGCGTGCGCAATTTTAAAGTTTTACCAAAACATTGGGTTAAAGCTATTGTAATTGTTGCATTAAAATTAAAAAAGTGCGTTTTCCCCCAAAAAAATGGTTTAAAAAAAACTGCTGCGCAAATACTGTGTGACATAAAAAAATTGCAACACCCACCAATTTATTCTCTAGGGCTCCTGCTTTAAAAAAATAAATAAATAAATAATATTTAGGGGTTGTAAGAATTTTGTTAACAAAAAATTAAAAACAATAATAGAAGTTTAAGTCGCCATAAAGCCCCTTTCATTTTTAAAACTCCCCGACATTCCTAAAAAGCTTCTCTGCCTAATAAACATCAACTCTTCATATTTTCCATCCTGACAAAAATTATTATTTTTATTTTGACAA